AATCCAAATGAAAGAAGAGAGACGATTCGTAGACCAGACTCGAGGCTCTCGACAGGGGGGAACCGCCTTACCCAGAGAGCGCAGGTACAAAACAAACATATCATTCCTACAGACTTGATCCTATATCAACACGAACAAACAAGTACTCAAGAAGATCTACTACATAGTAACAGATTCTCAGAAGAGGTATACCCTCCCTTCCCCTTAAGTGCTTGCTGGCTTGGGTTTGGGCAGAGGTTTCAAAGGTAAACAAAGGTTTGAAGAGAGCGCTGGCCCAAAGTAAACAACGATCGGTCAGGGACTACGAGCGTACGTCAAAATAACCAAACAAGCGTGGCTAATAAGTAGTTAGATTGATGTCTAATGATTCACATGCCTTTTCTTACTTCCCTTCGTTTATTTATATAAAAGTCTATGTCATTTTTATTGTATTATGGAACATCACGTTATTGACAACACGTTATACAAGAGGATATTTTAAAAAGCCCTTTTAATTAGACTAAACTCTTGTCAGAAAACCTTCACAAAGATACAAGCAAGAGCAACATCTGATAATAAAAACACCACGCGTAAGAAATCAGTCAATACCACAAACGAAAGAAAATCATCGTGACAGCCTATCTCCCAAAACCTACATCATCTGCAGGCCTAACTTGTCATGACTGATAAGGACTATCTCTCTCTCTCTTGGCGGGGTAGGTAGGGAAGGGGAGGAGGGAAAGGAGGGAGAGGGGAAGAGGAGGAGAGGAGAAGGGGAGGAAGGAGGGAGGGGACGAGGGGGAAAGGGGGGAAAGAGAGGAGAGGGACAGCCCTGACCATCGCGATAAGAAAAAGAGTCTAAGGGAACGTTCTCGACGTGAACCGAGTGGTGGTTTGGCGGCGGCGGCGGCGGCGACCACGAACTCGGGTGTGGGTGGGCGTGTCGGTGGCCAGCGTCTTTTCTCTTATATGGAGGTTACGTGGGTGCTTGGCGTGTAGTCCAGTGCTTGACTTTGTGGTGTTAACGGTGTCTTCGTGAATCGGGAAATCGAGCTGTCTTGCGAACGAAAAATTTTGGGAGAGTTGAAGAAAGTGTTGTGTCTCTCTCTTTTGCGCAGTGACTTTGTTGATAATGAATAATATGTGCAACGTTGGTTTGGACCGAAACGTCCTTCACGAATATAATTATTATGATTACCATAACCAAATGGCGCCGTATCACGTGACCGGCTATGAATATTCGTCATATCCTCCAGGTAATTGAGTGGAATATTTCATTTTTTTTTTGTATGTAAAAATGAATTGTTTTCTGCCAAGTATTAATGTAGTATGTATGTAGCTTTCGGTGTGTTTTAGGTTGTTGTTATTATTATTATCATTATTAATATTATTATTGTTATTGTTATTATTAGCTTCATTATCATATCACCATTAATTTTATTATCATTATTATCATCATCATCATCGTTATTACATCATTTTCCAATGTCTTTGTGTTCTGGTTCTGTTAGAATATAAGACGATAACTTGAGAGAGAAAAAAATATACCGAGATCCGTAGGGGTAGGCCTACCAGGCAGTGGGTGTAATTACCAGGAGTTATCTCAAGTTTAATCTGCGGGTCACCAAGTGAAACGCTCCCGGCCAACGCATCATCCTGTGTCCCCCCCCTCCTACCAGTAGATCCCGGTTTTTACGACGGGAGGGAGTGCCGCGAGTGTGCCAACTGCGGTGCCTCCCGGACCCCCCTGTGGCGGAGGGATGCGAAGACCGGCCACTACCTGTGCAATGCCTGCGCCCTCTACACCCGCACCAACGGCATCAACCGGCCCATGACCAAGATGCCTGCCCGGAGGCATGTAAGTTGGCACCCGGCTGGGGGAAGGAAAGGGGGGGATACGGAGGTTCCTGGCGGGGGCAGCTGCGCTCCTCAGACCTCCCTCCCCCTCCCCCCCACACCGCTATCCTCTTATTCCCGACATCCCTTTGCAAATTTCTTCTTCCCATTCTCCTTAACGCGCGCGGCGGAAACTGATCGTTCCCTTTCCACCACACTATGATCTCTTTATAGTTAAAAAAAGAGCAATCCGCAAAGGGTTTCGAAACCGCGCCTCAGAACCGACTATGATAGTCACACTCGGGCTGGGTCACGTGGCTTGGGGGGGAGGGGAGGGAAGGAGAGAGGGGGATAAAACGCAATAGAAAAAAAAGAAAAAAGAAGGTAGAGAGAGTGAGAAAGAGGAAAAGAGGGCGTTAGATTTTCGCTCGTTCCTTGCCGTAGGAAAGATGGCGAAAGAGACGCATCGATTGTCTCGAAGCCGCAAAACCTACGGCTCAGAGGACGACGGTAAATCCACACGTCTCGCTGAGGAATAGCTGATGGAGGTCTTCCGTTTTCTATTGACTGGCGGTTGACTCGACCTCCTCCTCCTCCTCAATCTACCTTCATCTTTTTTTCATCTCTCTCCTCTTCCTCCTCCTCCTCCTCCTGACCAACACACCCGACTCGCGCACTGCTTTCTCTGTCTCCTTTCCTTCCCCTTCTTCCTGCAACTAACCTTCTACCTTTTGCTTGTTGCAGTGGATGACTACTACAGCTACTATGGACTCCAGTCTCGGCCTTATGACACGTTGAAGAGCAGGCGGCTGGTAGGTCTTTTCTCTTCCGCTCTCTCTCTCTCTCTCTCTTTCTTTCTCTTTCTCTCTCTTTATCCTCTTCCTCTTCCTTTTTTTCCTCTCTTTATTCTATATCTACCTCTCTTACGTTTCCCCCCCCTTATGACTACTGCTTTCTACGCTTTTGCATGCTTTGTTAACATTTTCTTTTTCCCCTTTTCCTTTTATTGATGCTTTTTTTTTCTTAGGCTTCGTAGCTTCAATGCTTTTCATAACATGCTTTTTATTAAAGATCCCCTTGGGCATTCTCATTATTGTTTATATATGTGTGATTATATTCGTATCATAATTTTTACAGTAAAAAATTCGGATATATCGTCACTTTTATTCATCATTAAATGAATTGATATAAAAGATAAATAAATAAAAAATAAAACCTTCAAATAGACGCCAAAATATAGAAATAAACGCTCTATTGTCTCTCACCAGTCTGGCAACAGGAGACTGGGACAAGTCTGCACCAACTGCCACACAACCGTCACGTCCCTCTGGCGTCGTAACAGTAACGGCGACCCTGTGTGTAACGCCTGCGGTCTCTACTACAAACTGCACAACATCAACCGCCCACTTACCATGAAGAAAGAGAGCATTCAGGTATGTGTGGTAGTTTGAGAGGCTATGGTAGGCCTTGTGTGTAAGTTCGTGAGGTTTGATGGTGCATTAAAGGAACAGATTGGTCTTAAATATCTGTGTAAATAGGTAATTCAGGTGAATGAGGGAACATTAGGGAACAGATGTATTAATTAAATAATATACTGGCAATAAGTATCTGAATAAATAAGATGAAATAGGGAAATACATTTGAAAATGAATGGAGATATCATTGAATAGAACAGTGGGTAGATATGTAAACAATCAGAAAAGAAAATTATTTTAATGTTAGAACAAAAACATATACATCATATAAAACTACATTCAAATATACGAAAAAAAAAACATCACACTAATTTTTTTTTTCTTCCACGCATTACAAACTCATTTCTTCCCCAAGTTTTGAAACCATTTTTTTTCTAGTGTAATTATTAAAAAAAAAATCCATTTCCCTCTCTCAGACTCGGAAACGAAAACCCAAGAAGTCGAGTGATAGCAAGAGCTCCTCCACCTCGTCCTCGATACCTTCTTCAGCTACTTCTTCAGGCACGAGCACTCTGACCACGTCCTCCGCCAGCACCGCCACGACCACGGCCTCGAAATACCAGCCTTCTTCGGTGTCGACAGGTAATTTGTGTGTGTGTGTGTGTTTGTGTGTAAGCATTGTTTTGATCCTGTCACTAATTTTACTATTTGCTATTATCATCCCAAACGTTGTATTATCAGTTCTTATTTGTAAATCTCAGCGATTATTTTTGATAGTGCAGAGCCTAAAAATACGTTTTATTTCTACATCTTTGTTACATTAAGCCATTCTGATGTTTATTTTACATAAGATTTAGGAGTCTGCTCCTTCCCGACCCTCACTCACGATTCCCTTCGGCCCGCAGTGAAGACGGAGCCCTCGAGCGCCTCCTACACGATGTACGGGACCTCGACCTACGGGGCCCAGAGCACCTCCCCGACGGGAACCTCCTCCACCCACCTGCTGCCCTCGCTCCTCCCTCCGTACTCCTTCCCTAGCCTGAAGGCCGCCCCCGCCGCCACCCTCCAGTACGGGGTCAAGGACGAGCCCTCTTCCCCGGGGACTGGAGGCGCAGCAGGAGACATCGGAGCCGGAGCAGGGAGTCTCCACCACGCCCATGCCGCCCATTCCGTCGCCCACGGGGCCGCCCACGTATCGTCCAACGGGCTGGCGACGTCCCCCCGCGACCCCTTGGCTGGAGTCACCGCCTCGTCTGCCAGCCACTTGACCCCGTCGCACCTGCCCGTGTCCACGTCGGCCGGGACCCCGCACCTCGGCTCTCCGGGGTCCGTGGCGCCCCACTACTCCGCCAACATGATGCTGCCCCACATCGTCACGTCCGCCTGCTTGGGGTCGACCTCGGGGCAGGGTCACTCACCCCCCGTGACTCCCACGACTCCGCACTCGCTGGAACACCTCACGTGGAAAGCCAAGTGAGGGGAGACCCACGGAGGACGAATGTAAAAATAGCCAGAGAGAAAAAAAAGGAAAAGAAAAAAAAAAAGTTGTATAGGTATTAATGTACATAGGAAGTTTTTTTTTTATGATGTAAGTCATATGTATACTCTGTTGATTACTTGTGTACAGATTTTTTTTTCTTCTAGATTTAAGGAACTTTTGTTTTTGTAAGTCGTTACATAGTTTAAGATGGTTCTAGGCACACCAAAGATAGAAGGTAGTTCAAGTGTGCCAAAGATACTAGGTTTAGCAGGGGAGCGCCGAGGGTTGGAGTGTCAAAGGGTCATGGAAGTGCCAGAACACGTCAACGCCGGGACGACCCCCATGGACGGGCTAAATTGACTAGTCGTTTGCGCGGTTCCGTTGTCTTTATCTTATTGTTTCTCGTTTTCTTTCCTCGCTTCTTCCTCTTTTCAAATCAGTGTTAGTCGTTTGTTCTATTTTTTCCCCTTCTAATCTGCTGTTCCTCGCTCTTTTCATACACAAAAAAGTGCCGTATCGTAGCAGCCTTCATTCTTCAAAGGCATTCCATTTTGTCGATTAGTAAGAAGAGAAAAGAAGTTCGTCTTGGCTTCTTTAGGTTTTACCAAGGAGAACGATCACCTTTTGGGACGACAAGGAAGGGAACACTCCTTCGATGGCGAACTTGGATGCTGATTAAAAGTCAAGTGTTTTTTGTCCTTCTGTTCTCGAGTATACGTTTTAGTGTTAGCTATTTTGTTAGACTTAGATTCTTTTTTTCTTTTTTTTTGTCATTTCACTGTCTACTGTTTAAAGAATGAAAAGGAAAAAAAAAAGTAAACAACATACCCCCTTTGACTTGGGTATGTTACCTCGCCTGGATAGTACTCACAGCTGATTATCAAATCCCTCTTTTGAAATCCGTCGAATCAGAGGAATTGTCAACTTAACTATCATAACGACTATGTAAAATAAGTGATCGGAATTCATCTGTTTCGCCGTGGATGGCAAGGGTTCTGTATACCGTATGTGTGTCCGTCCTTTTTACAATATTTTTGTAAACGTTTTTTCCTCTTGTTTTCTCTCAGACACAAACAGGCAGATAAACCACTTTTGCTAAGCACCGTTTCTTGTAAATGTAGGAAGGGAATTCAGGCGAAAATTCTTTCAGTTAAGAAAATAAAAGACATTCATTTACACGTGTTTTTTTTCTACACTTATATCGTGTATTTTTTGGAATGTGTGTACAATAGCAATAATTAGTGTTATGGTATATATATATTTCTGTCATCAGTGTCTGTAAATAGTATAACGAACATGTCATCCTTGATAGAAATATTTGGTCAGATTTAGCAATAGCAATACCAAAGTATGTGGGATTTGATCAGTTACACTGATCACATAATCATCATCATTACTATCATTAGCGTGATTGGTATTATTATTATTATTATTATTATTATTATTATTATTATTACTATTATTATTATTATTATCATTATCATTATTGCTGTTGCCATTTTATTGTTACTGTATTATCATTAATACTATTAGCATTGGTTTTATTCATATTTTCATTATATAATTGTAATTATCATGAAATAAAAATAAATCAACAATAATACAAAGTATACTCCTCATGTATCGTTTTCTATGTTGGGTAATTAAACGAATATATATATAGGAAGCGAAACGATAATTCTGTTTATCCATCGCATCATTCAATTTTAGTTTTAAAACGTGATTAATGGTTTTACGTTAACATTGATATCATTTTCGAAAAATCTTTCTTTGGATACATAAAGCTGTGGGTTTTCTCTCTTGTATTATTATCAATTTGTGGAAAATAATAAATTCTGGATACTGATTTTGTATGTGTAGTTATTCTTGTTAGTTTTATGATGTAATTATTAAAAGACAGACGTGTGTTTTATTTTGTAAGTTTAGAAAATAAAAAGGTTATTGGTGAGTGTCACAGTTAGTCAGTTTTAATTGATATTGTGATATAGAAAGTATTAGAAAATGTTGGTTATCTTTAAAACTCTCTCTCTTTAAGGAAAGTAAATATATTCGAAAACCGTTTCCTGTGTGCTGTATTTTGTGTCTGTTTGATTAGCCTTTAAGATTTTTTTTTTCTTTTTTTGTTGTAAAAAAAGTATATATAGTGCGATTTATTTCAATATTTGCTGACTCGTGGTGCTAGTGTTATTCCACAAGGGAATGTTTCATTTTGAATTTTTGAAATGATCTTTCTCCTTGATTTTTTTTTTTATTTAAGTAGGGAAAAAAACGTTGATTCATCTTAATTTACTTTTGATTTCTTTGTTAATAATTTATGTTGAGTGGTAAAAATTAGATTTGTTTTTTTTTCCTGCAAATGCACGGGAAAATATTTTTATGGATTCATGTAAATAGACAGTTCAAAAGAATACATTATTGTAAATAGTTCTTTGTTTCTATTTTGTGGAGCGATGGTTGGCTGCATTTAAAATTCAAATTCAACCAATCTCGTTTATTTTTGGCAGGCGGTGGTTGGCTGAGACGACAGAAAATTCACCCAATCAGCCGTCTGTCCGTTATTTTTAGTAGGCGGTGATTGGCTGACACATCAAACCGTTCAACCAATCATCGGCCTTTTTAGTCACTGGAGGTGATTGATAGCATTTTATGTATGAATGAGATGTATGAGTATGAATGAATCCTTCTATGTGATTTTTTGGCAATTTATGTAGTTAAAAACGCTTTGTAATTTGTCTTTTTGTAATACTGAATTGTGCTGTGAGTTAAAAAATCATAAACAAATTTCATGGAGTTGGTTTTGTTATTTCCACCTTATTGATATTCAGTCAAGAGGTTAAATATAAGATTTCATAAGTAATATGATTATTCATAAGTATTATTAACGTACTTCCATGCACTTTTAAAAAGAATTAGTGCCACTGCATGCTCATATACATGTATACGTTTCTCTAAATCAATAGGCTTAAATACACCATATTAAAAAGAAAAAGAAAATTCAGAAGATATTGCAGCTTCTAACACGACTTTAAAACCACGTTTTACCAAATCTGCCCTTCAGTTTCATCCAAAGAAGTCTTCAGAAATCCAAATCGCGCCAAATTTTCAAATACTTTTTTCAGTCGCGTATTTTCTCGCTCGCTATTATATCTATATCGTATATAAACACACCTTTTATATAATGGTTTGCTCAATACTTGCCTTTTTATTATTTCTATATTCGTTTATCACCATTTTCTACGATCCTTAACCCTCCCCCCCCCTTTTTTTCTAAGGCATCTCTCGTTTTTTCTTTATCTTCCCCAGCCTTTTAACCACCAAACAATGTGCTATTTCGGGACACGGCCCATATGCTAATCAATCTCCTAGTTTAGAGCCTCTTAGCCGTAACCCAAACACACACACACACACACACACACACACACACACACACACACACACACACACACACACACACACACACACACACACACACACACACACACACACACACACACACATACACACACACGCGAAATGAACAACCTATATTCACTTTTTAATTGTCAACGAATTGTTTTTTCTTGCTATTTTCTTAGTATAATCTTTCTCTTTATGTCTTTCTCTCTTTTTCCCTCTCTGTTCCCTTTCCCCCTCTCTCTTTCTTCTTCTGTATTCCTTCTCTTTATTCTCTCTCTTCTTTCTTCCTTCTCCCTCGATTTCTCTCCTCTCTTCCCTGTTGTTCTTGTCTTCTCTCTTCCCCTTCCCCTCTTATCGTTCTGTCTCTCTTCCTCTCTCTATCCCATCCTCTTCCCTCCTCTTTCTCTCACCCATTTCCCCCCTTTTCTCCCTGCTTTTCTTTCCTTCTTTCTCCCACCCCTTCTTCCCGTTCTCTTCCAATCTTTATCTTCTCTCTCCCGTCTCTCTTCCTTTCTTTATCCCTCTCCCTCCCGTCTCTCTTCCTCTCTTTATCCCTCTCCCTCCCGTCTCCCTTCCCCTCTTTATCCCTCTTCCTCCTGTCTCTCTTCCTTTCTTTATCCCTCTCCCTCCCGTCTCTCACTCTTTATCCCTCTCCCTCCCGTCTCCCTTCCCCTCTTTATCCCTCTTCCTCCTGTCTCTCTTTCCCTCTTTATCCCTCTCCCTCCTTCTCTTTTCCTCTCTTTATTCCTCTTCCTCCTTCTCTCTTCCTCTCTTTATCCCTCTCCCTCCTTCTCTCTTCCTCTCTTTATCCCTCTCCCTCCTGTCTCTCCCCATCTTTATCCCTCTTCCTCCCGTTTCTCTTCCCCTGTTTATCCCTCTTCCTCCCGTCTCTCTTTATCCCTCTCCCTCCTGTCTCTTCCTCTCTTTATCCCTCTCCCTCCTGTCTCTTCCCCTCTTTATTCCTCTCCCTCCTTCTCTCTTCCTCTCTTTATCCCTCTCCCTCCCGTCTCCCTTCCCCTCTTTATCCCTCTCCCTTCTGTCTCTCTTCCTCTCTTTATCCCTCTCCCTCCCGTCTCTCTTCCCCTCTTTATCCCTCTCCCTCCTTCTCCCCCCCCCCCCCTCCTTATCGCTCTTCCTCCCGTCTCTCTTCCCCTTTTTATCCCTCTCTCTTCCCCTCTTTATTCCTCTCCCTCCTGTCCCTCTTCCCCTCTTTATCCCTCTCTCTCCCCGTCTCCTCGTCCTTCTCCTCTCCCGTCTCTCTTCCCCTCGCATCCCCCCTCTCCCCTCTGAAGTGGAGAGCCACGCGCCCATGCGATAGCGTTGTCTCACAGGTGGTGGTAGGTTGTGATAAGGTGAGGTTACCATGCATTAGCCGGATGAGGGGAAGCTGCTGGGCATGATAAGGGTTCTTTTTTCCCCTCACTCACTCTCCCTCCTTTCCCCTCATTCACTCTCTCTCTTTCGGAGGTTCGCTTTCACTTTCCCCTCTTTTTTTTCTCTCTATCTCATTCTCGTGGGTCGTTCTCGCTTTTTTCTCGGTGTCTGTCTGTCTGTCTGTCTGTCTGTCTGTCTGTCTCTCTCTCTCTTTCCTTCCTTCGTTCTTTCTTTCTCCTTCTCTGTCTATATTTCTGTCTGTCTCCTTTCTCTTCCTTTCTCCCACTCTCGCTCTCCAATACCCTACCTCGCTCTATCCCTTCCTCTCTCCCCCCCCTATCTTTCTCTTTATCTTTCTCTCTCTGTCTCTTCTTTTTCTAGTCTGTTCCTCTCTTCTAAGTATCTTAATTGTTTTCTAATTCTTTTCCTTATACCTCATTCTTTTTTTCTCTTTCTCTGTATTTCGGCTCTTTATCATCATCATCGTCATCATCATCATTATTATTGTTTTTATTATCAT